TCCAGGGTGGCATTGATCCGTGTCACCATCCAGTTGAACATCTTCTCATACACTGCCTTGGCCAGTGCCCCGGTGGCATACGCCACCTGGAAGGTAAGGGAGAAACCAGATGAGCAGATTAGTGTGAAGAGTGAATTCCAAAGCCCCCACTGCAGCATGGCAACCCTCACCCCATTTATCTCCTGAAGATGACCCACCTGCTGGACATTCTGCCCCTTGGTGACGTACTCGTTGCCCACTTTCACCCGAGGGTGGCACAACCCCTTAAGCAGGTCAGCTGAGTTCAGCCCCATGAGGTAGGCAGACTTGTCAGCCTCTGGAAGGAGAAGGCAGGCAGTCAAGTTGGTCAAGGGATGATTCCTCTACAGATGTGGCCCACAGCTGTCCCCCAGCATCCCAAACTCCCACCTTCAGTGCCATCTGGCTCAGCCTGCTCCTCTCGCTGCTTCTGTTTGAACTTCATGTTTCCAAAGTGCATGATGGCACCCGTCAGCTTGTACATGGAGTTCTTTTCCTCTGAAGTGAAGCCCAGCACATCAAAGGCATTCTGTAGGCAGACCCCATATTGGTGAACCCCAGAAAAGGAAGTATGGCAGGCAAATGAGATCCCTCTTCAGTTGGAGAGAGAACTTCTCTCCTGAATCCCTACAGCTTCTGAGATTCCCATACCCAGTGAGGAACTCCAAAATGAAGATGGGAAGTGCAAGAGCAGGAGAGTGTGCATACTGCCGCAGATCTGGCATCAGTGGTCATAGCTGTCCTCTGGAGCTGCTCTGGTTACTCACTCATGTTTTCTACTTTTGTCCCTCTTCTAGGCCCTACACTTGCTTCCTGCTTAAACCTTCCATACCTGTCTATATCTAGTCTTCACTTAATAGCCTGCCCCAACCCCATGGCCACTGCATGACCCACCCCCGCTTCCCTTGGTGATGGCTTGCTTCTTGGCTTGTCTGCTTCTCTGTCCCATGGTGTTCAGCCCTTTCTGTTTGCTCAAACACCAAATATTGTCCACCCCATCTCAACATACCCATTCCCCAACACACCCTGGTAATAGGCCATGTTCTGGTCCTTGGGGGGGTGTCATACCACTTTGAATAACAGATAGACAGTGTCTCAGCTCTCCTCCTGAGCCAGTGAACTGGCCTCATTTACTCCTCACTGCCAGTGCCCTCACCTCTCGACCAGGTTCTTACACACTTACATCAGTGGCCATGAGCTCCTCAGCGTCATCAATGGAGGCCACGGTGGTCTCTCCTTGGGAGATGAATGCATAATCGTAGGGGTTGTTGGTGATCAGCAGCATGTCTGGGAGGAGAAGATGTGGTGAGGATGGGGCACAAACCTCTGGCTCTCACTGGGGCTGCCTACCACAGCATAGGGCTTGCAGGAAAACACATGACAAGGCTTCATGTGGTCCCACATCCCACAGAACTGAATCCAGCAGTGCCATAAACCCAGGGCACGCCAGCAAGCTGCCTCAAGCAGAGGGGACCAGGTTGCCATGGAGATAGTTGGTCTCGGTTGGTAGCTCTGACTCACCCAGCAGCTCAGGCTTTTTGTTAGACAGGATTTGGTAGAAAATGTGATAATCTCTCTCTGCTTTCAACTGGAAAATAACTCTGGATTTTTCCAGAAGATCTGTGAACAATAAGGGGAGAAGAAAGAGAGAAATTTGGGGATTTAGGTACAAGGAAATAGAGGAAAATGAATGATAAATGTAACAAGCAAAAGGCAGAGGAAAAGGGAGAGATGAAGAGAAAGACTCTCATACAGACATGAAGAGACAGAGGTGGAGAAAGACTAGAGGGAGTCTCAGGGGGAGATGAATATACAGACCCGGAGACACAGACAGACAGAGACAGAAAGAGAGGGAGAGAGACTGAAAGGCAGAGACCTAAAGAGAGACATAGATGGAGAGGCAGAGAGAGAAGAGAGAGAGGTTGGGATCATGATCACATAGAATGAGGGTGAGCTTAAGCCAAGTTCTAGCAGATTCATGGCACTCACAGGTCTCTATGTCTGCAGATGCCAACTTTCCAGTTGCCCCAAAATGGATTCGAATGAATTTCCCCTGGGGAGATGGAGGAGACCAGTGAGGAGTTGAGGCAAGGCTCATATTTGATACCATCCCTCCACCAATCCAAATCCCGAATCCAAGGTCAGGGACCACTCACGAAGCGGGAGGAGTTGTCATTCCGGACGGTCTTGGCGTTGCCGAAGGCCTCCAGGGCTGGGTTGGCCTGGATGATCTGGTCCTCCAGGGTGCCCTGCAGAGGTCAGGAAGGATGGTGGGTCAGAGGCCTACCCACCCCCCCCCTTTTGGCAGTGCAGGTCCATGGAGGATAACAGGCCTACCTTGCCTGGTGTCTGATCCTTCTTGCTGCGATCCCCAATGGCGGCAATAACGGCAAAGTACTGGATGACCCTCTTGGTGTTGACCGTCTTCCCGGCCCCGGACTCCCCGCTGTTGGGACAGTCAGGGCCCCATTAGGCAGTGAACAGACACTGCTTGAGACGAACAAGCCTCAGGTCAGGAGAGAACGTCTGGTTCTACTTGACAGTGGGAGCCCCAAAGCAGGAAACTGCTGGGTAATGTGCATCCTGAACACACATGGGATCAGGGGGAGCACTAGGAAGGATGCCACAAGAAGATGCTGGGTCAAGCAGAAGGAACCTGGTCTTAGCTAGGCAAGGTCAATGTGAGGAGGTGGGTCTGGGCGATTTTGGAAAAGAATAGGTAAGGGTGGCAGAATGGGGGAGGTTTCTGAAGGTAAAGATGAAAGAAAATGAGGAGGGGATGAAGACACAGTGATACTGGGCTTATGGATAAGTGAGTGATGAGTTGGAGGAGAGTGAGCATAGGCAACGGGAGAGGAAAACTCCAAGAGGGGCGGGAAGCAGAAAGGAAGCGGGGAAGCAAAGGCATGGGTAAAGGTCACAGAAGAAAGAGGAGCTGGCATGAAGGTGGAGGGAAGTGAGAACTGTGGGTCCATGCATGGGGGCTGTGGTCCATGATGGGGGCTGGGATCAGGGAGGTTCTGGAAGGGAACGGGTTAGGAGCTACACTCACGTGATCAGGATGGACTGGTTTTCTCTGTCTGTTGGGAGCAAGTGGGGAGGAAAAGTCAGGCGCCACACAGGGTGCTCTTGCCTGGCATCCACCTACCCCCTGCTGCCCCACCTCCCGGCCTCTCTCCAGGCATCTCCCAGTTGCCCAGACCAACTGCGCATTCCCTCCCATGCGGCTCCCGAGGAAAGCCTGCAGCCGAGGCCTGTCACCTGTCAGCATGTACTGATAGGCGTTGTCAGAGATGGAGAAGATGTGGGGCGGCGCCTCGCTCCTCTTCTTGCCCCTGTAGGCGGCCACCACCTCGGCGTTGTACACCGGCAGCCACTTATAAGGATTGACGGTGACGCAGAAGAGGCCCGAGTAGGTCTAGGATAGAGAAGGAGGGTTGAGTTGCTAGTGATGAAGAGGGAGCAATGGCAGGTTTCAGGGTTAGAGAACAATGCCAGGAGGGGAAGAAGAGAAAGAAAAATCTATGAAAGCACTAAATCTGAGTAATCCTAGCCTCGGGGGTATTAGAACTGAACCAGGGATGCAGGGGTGGGGACAGCGTGCAGTAATGCCTGGACACAAAGAACAGAAACTGGGAAGCTACTAGACTCAGAGGGTGTCCTGGATGGCGCACTTACATAGATCATCCAAGAGGCGTAGCGCTCCTTGAGGTTGTAGAGCACGGCGGGCTCGTGCAGGAAGGTCAGCATGGCCATGTCCTCGATCTTGTCGAACTTGGGTGGGTTTTGTTGCATCACCTGGTCCTCCTTCACGGTCACTGTCTGCAACAGCCCCCATGCAGGCCCAACTGTCAGCCCTCCCTCTGCCCAGAAAGGAGTCAGGCAAGTTCTAGGAGAGCAGTGTTCAAGAGAGAAGGACTGGGATCATAGAGAAGACAGATGGGATATTGGGAATGAGAAGGGCTGTTTGGACGGTGTGGATCCCTTCTCCGAAGAAGGGAAATCGGACTGTCCTCAGGTCTGTGTGGGATGGGTCCTGGTGGTAACCTCTCTGTGTACCCCAGCTTGCGGGGGGAGGGGGCCCAGGAGGGCCTCTCACGCCAACCCTGCCACCTACCTTGCCACTTTCGGTCTCAGCGGTGATTTTGCCACCCTCTCGAGACAAAATTTTGGCCTTGACAAACTCCTCTTTGTCATCAGGCACAAAAACATCTTTCTTGAGGTCAAAAGGTCGGGTCTGGGCTTCCAGCCGCTCCTTCTCTGACTTGCGCAGGAAGGGGGCAGCGGCCCCAAACGCGGCCATCTCCGCATCCACCATGGCTGTGCCTACAGTGGGTGGGAGTAGAAGATGCTAGCTGCCCTCCCATCCCCCACCCTCCACTCCCTTCCCGGGCTCTCTCTCCTTCAGCGGGAGCCCCAGAGCCTAGCACTGTCCTCGTAAGTCAGGGGCGGGTCACCATGCATCCCTTATTCCTTGAGCTGATCCCTCTACCCAAGAAGAGCCTGGCAAACCTGTCAGGGCAGAAGGGTAAGCTAACTTTTGTTCAGCCTGGGGCTCTCCTAGAGAAGGGAAGAGTGTCCTGGGCTTCTCTGGGAGCAGAAAGCTAACTACGTCCATCTCTAATCCTTATCCCTCCCTGGCTCTTCCCTAGTCACAGGCAAGGGGCTCTTGGTTGCCAAGACACATTCCCCAAGGCAAGGCAGAAACTAGAGTCCCATAGCCTGGCTTTGGGGCTGTCATGGCCAATCTTCCCGGATTCCCCCACACTCCATCTTCAGCTTTCCTTACCTTGGCTTCTCGAAAATGTGTACTAGATGAAAGGGGCTCAAGCCTGCAGGGGACCTGGAAAGAGGGCAGGCTGTGTCAGGGTCACCTCCCCGCTGCTCCCTGGCTCTGCCCTTCAGCACTCACCCCTCCCCCAGGCCTGAAAGCAGGTGGGGAGTGGTGGACAGCTTCTCTGGTCCTGTCCTCTGTCTGGCTTTCCAAACACTGTGACCTTTTCTCCTGAGTGATAATTCTAAAATTTCCTGATGTCTATTCCTCCTCCTCCCACCTGGGAGATGGTCCTACCCTTGCCTATACTCACCTAGTGGAACTTGCCTACTTGGAGCCACCTGAGAAACAGTTAATGGTCGCATTTGTTCAGTGCTTTACAGTCTCCAAAGCACGTTTATGCACACTCTCTTACTCAATCCTCACCCTGTTCTACAGATGAAGACATCAAGGTTAAGGGGCTTTCTTGTCCAAGAACAGATAAGAACAAGTGGCAGAACTAGGCCTTGAACCCATGTCTCATGACTCCAAAGCCAGTTCTATTCCATCCTGCCCCCATTTGATTGTCAGTCTTGGTGGACACTCTCTGAGAGGAGACCATTGTGGGCATCCTCTCAGACACATCCATCACACAGCCAAATGCCCTCCACATGTCCTCTGACGAACACGCATGTCCACTGCTCATGCACATGCCTCATACAGACATGTTGCCTTCCTATACCTCGCCACACACATCCCTCCCAGTGTGACATCACGCCTTGGCAACAGACACGCACGTTAAGTATGTGTACAGTATAAATAAGGGCAGATCGCTGTATATTCCCAAGTATACAAAGACCTGGAACAGGGCCGCCTGAGTGGCGCAGTCGGTTAAGTGTCCCACTCTTGGTTTCAGCTCAGGTCATGATCTCGGGGTCGTGAGATCGAGCCCCGCGGCGGGCTCCGCGCTCGTTGCAGAGTCTGCTTGAGATTCCCTCTCCCTCTCCCTCGGCCCCTCCTGCTCAAGCTCGCCTCTCTCTCAACTAAATAAGTAAATCTTAAAAAAACAAAAGGCCTGGAACAGCCACACCATGTGCCTGTGAGCTCCTTTTGCAGGGTGTACACACTCTGTAGCAGTCTCGACTCCTGGATGTGCATACAAGCACCTCCGCATGTATGGATATGGGTAGTTACCCATGACAGACCCCACAGAACTAGCTTCTGAGCATATATACTTGCTAAGTCATTGTTCTTTGCCATCCTCTTCTCCCTCCCCTCAAATGGACCAGCTATTCTCAGGCGTGATGATAAACACGTCTCCTGCTTGATATTTCTGTATCTTAATTAGGCAGTGAGGTACACACCCTCCCCTCACCATGCATTGAGATTGCGCATGCTTGTACACAAAACACACAAACACACACACACACACACCTCTAATGCATAACGCATCTGGTCCCATATGCTCCGATACAGACATTCACACACACACCCCCAATACCTGAGCCCCCCTACTCGCAGGGCACCTACACTCATGTTTAGACCTGCACTTGTGTGCTCAATGATCAGACCTCGTACTCTGCACGAAGCCCTGCATGCAGCTTGCTGTTCCTAGAGGAGCCCCTTCCTAAAGCTGGGGCCCCCTTATCCCAGAGGAAGGCCTCCTGCTCGGCGCTCCTACCTGAGAGCAGCAAGGAAAGACAGAGCACAGGGGAGAGCTGTGGAGCTTGACCTGGTCAGGGGCTGTATATATCAGGCAGCAGGCGACCCCACCCCCACCTGCACCCAGTCCCTAGCCGGATTTAGAAAGGGCTGTTGTCACTAGAAGCATTTCCCCCAGGCTCCCCCCCCTTTCCCCAAAGTGCTCCCCGCCCCGCCCCCCACAGCTAGGAAACAATTGGAAGTGGTCGTCATTGTTATGGCATGGAGTGTGCAGGGTCTGAGTTCCAGGGGGCGGGGATGGCTCAAAGTGCAGCCAAAATATCTCCCAGGCCAGGCTTCACATTCCATAGCTGACAGGAGAGGGGACTGGTCAGACCACCATGACCTCAGGCAGGGCAGGGGCCTGGCCCTCCCCCAGGGCTCTCCTGGCCTCTGACACAGCTGCCCCTCTGACCCCTGCCCCCTGAGCTGGCCCAGCCCCACGCTCGCAGTGTCCTCTCTGCTTCCTGGCCTGGGTCCTACATCCAACCGTGAGATGGGAGGGGGTGAGTGTCAGCAGCAGAGGGGTAAGGCAGAGCTGGGGACGTGGCCCCCCGGGTGGGGGCTAGACTGGAAGGAGGAGCTGGAAGGAGGTTTCCCAGCCAAGTGGCCAGAATGACCAGGGAGCTTAGAGATGGGGACTCTGGCTTGGGCACTGATTTCCTTGGACCTGCCAGGCAGTGTATTGAGGTCACTGAACCTGAGAGCCAGGCAGGCTATTCGTTAGTCCTTCATTTTATGGAGAAGGGAAGTGCCTTCTGTAAGGTCATGCAGCTAGGCAGGGCAGCAAGATTCAAGGCGGTGGGGGGGAGCTGAGCAGATGGGGGGTAGAGGTCAGCATGTGGAGGGAGGGCTGGAAGTCCAAGGAGGCAAGGACCCGCTGTGCTCAGAGGGCAGACCCAGCTGCCGCCTGATGGTCCTAGCGGAGCGCCGTGCCTGACTCATTTTCCTAGCTCAGCCTTCAGGTACTGAATTCTCTAGCCCAGAGCCAGACACACTTGATGGCATAGATAATACAGCTGCTCGGACCTAGGAGACCCCTAATGAAGAAAGCTGCTGCCTGGCCCACCTATCCTCTTGTGTTCTGTGAAGTGGTCTCTCTCCAGACCCGGGGAGACTAGTGTTCTGGCAAGTGGGGCTGAAGGACAGGAAAAATGTCCCCCTTTCCTGCAGGCCCTAGAAGCAGCCGCAAAGGAGGTGAGGAAAGGGGGCTGGAGCTCAGCTCCCCCTGAGCACAGAATGTAGCTAATGCCACCCTCTTCTAGCTACCTCGTGCGCAAGCTTCACTGGCTCTGTGTCCAGGCAACCACCGCGTTTACTTTGAAATCCCCCTCCTTCCCGGGCACAGCTCTCCAGCGCATGCGGATTGATCCACCTGATTAGCTGTCAGCTTGGAAGGAGAGCGTCAGGCCCCGGGAGGGGGGGGGGGGGGGGGGGAACAGATACATTTTGAAGGTGGGGTAGGCACAGCAGGGAAGGGCAAATCCAGGTGGGGGCCCAATGAGGGGGGCTGCTTGGTAACCCAAGCACAGTCTTGAGGCCTTGAAGAGCCGTGGGGTGGGGGGAAGGGTGCAGGCAAGTGGAGGGTCGATCCCCAACCACAGGGGCTGCTGAGGTGGCCTGCACAGGCTCTGCTGCTAACAGGACTGGCAGGACAAACTCTGTGGGTCCGGACCAGGCCCTCTCAGGGGCTGAGGAACTAAGCCCACTGGTAGAGACCTCAGGGTTTGGTGACAAAGGGCAAAAACCTCTCTTTATCCTCCCCTTGCAGCTTCCCAAGCCCAAAGCCACCACCCCTGCCTGATTTCCCAGGGCTCAAGTGGTGCAGATGCAGGTGACTGAGATGCAGAGGATGCCAAGCCCTTTCACAGTCCGTGTCTTCACCAAGGGCCAGCCTCCTTGGCCATGGAGTTGGAAAACCTTGTCTACATTTAGGAGATCCGTTGAACTTGGTTTCCTTCTTCTGGGTTTTGGGGGCGCTGACCTCTTGGTGTTACAGCATTCTGCGCTCTAACACTCCACTGCAGGCTGGGTCTTACCTCCCTGCCCCCAAGTTCTCTGCCTCACATCCCCAGGCTCTGGAGACAGACTGGAGGGTCTGACATCCTTAAAGACCCCCACTCACGCCCCAGCCCTCGGGCACCTGCTCGTGGCTCTGTCAGGATTCTCTTCCTTCCACTAACGACTGTCTGAAGACCAAGCAGCTTTGCTGATCCCTTCATTTCACAAGTATTTATTGAGCTTCTATTAATGCGGCATTGTTCTAGTCAATAAGGACGTAAGAGTGACCAAAATAAAGACCCTTCCTCCTGACAGCTCTATGCAACTGTTTGTAGAAGTGGGATATGGGCCTCAGCTTATGGCCAGGGCCTTTGCTGGCAGGCACATTCCTGGTGGGGAGAGTGAGGGGCCGGGGCCCCACCATGTGGGGGTGGGTGGGGATAGTGCCGCGTGTATTGCAGAGTGAGAGCAGACAAGACAAAGGAGAGCAGAGCAAAATGCTATAAATAAAGAGGGGCTGGGGGGAGGGCAACTTCACCAAGGTAGACCAAATAAGGCCTGGAGAGAAAGGAAGGTGATCTGTCTCCCCTGCCCTGCCCTGCCCTCCCCTCCCCGGCATGGTGCCTGCTTTGTCTGGGCTCTGTCACCACCCTGATCAAGTGTCAGGCCCAAACAGGGGCCATTTGCTGTGACATGCCAGCCGGAGTTCAGAGAAAAAGTTGCTAAAATTACTACCAGGAATGGGGAAGGAGGGGGTGCACCAGGACAAGTTAGAGTGGACCTCGGTATGGAAAGAGGGAACACAGAAAGGAGCCCCAAACCCCAGAAAGGGGAGCAAAAGAGGGGGAGGAAAAGGCAGGGGGCTTGGCCCAGGGAAAGGAATGAGGCATGAGTTGTTTGAGCACATGGGAGAAGGGGCCCACCCTGCGGTGGGGCCGAGCGCTCCTCTCTGCCCACCCCTAGAATCCCTGACCTTGGGGGGACCCCTACCCTGGCTCCACACGAGCCTGGGATTAGGGCCTGGGCTTTGAGCCTGTCTCAGGTTTCCCTTCACAAACAGCTGTTGCTTCTTGTCATTCTTTTGTTTTCCTGATCGCTCCAAAATCTTTTGTACCCCTCCGCACCCTGCCCCCACTCTCCACTACAGTCTCTGCTTTCTGATAGACAATGGGCAGCTGGAAAGGAAAGAGGGGAGAGGGCTGGGCTGGGGCTGGCTCAGTTTAGCTTGGGGGTCTTTGAGAAGTTGGGTCTGGCCTCCAGGGAGTGTTTGTAGGGGTACAATTCATCAAAAAGGAGGCTTGGGGGGCATAGCCAGTCTAGATCCAAGGCTGGACGCCTCAGAGGGCTTGCAAGGAGCAACCTGGTGAGCTTCCATGTCAGTCACAAAGATCCAGTTTGAAACCCATCTTCACCGTTTCCCAGCTGTGTGTTCAATGTCAGTCACAGAACCTCTCTGAGTCAGTTTTATCATCAGTCACATGGGGATGGTCACATTTCCGTTCCAGGACTATTAAGTCCATCAGGGTTTGCACAGGTAAAAGACCTAGCACAGCCCCAGACACATAGTGGGTCCTCAGGAAATGGCAGCTTTTACCCTGAGGAACACAGACCTGACTGCGGGTGGTAGGACTGGTTACCTTGCCAGGGGGCTCTTTGCTTTTTTGCATCTCTTGCAGCCTCATTAAGTCCACTCAGTGTAAGGATGGTCCTGGCCAGGGTAGATCAGCGATCCAGCAATCCCGTGGCCTCTTCCGCCCAGGTTGGGGCTGCCCTTGGGAACACCATGACTGGGAGGCCAAGGGTTCAAACTGTCCTAGGCTCAGTCCAGGACTGCAGGCTAGCCTCGAAGCCAGGAGAGGCAGCCGTGCCTGACTGTTGTTTATGGACTTGCCCTCACAGCAGGTCAATATGCGAGGCCTGCCAGGAGTCACCCAGGCTCAGTGGTGGTATCGGCCAAGGACATCTGATGGGAACAGAGGCCCCCAGGTAGAGGTTGCTTGGCCATTCGAGTCAACTGTCAGCTAGGTTGTTTTGTGTGTGTCCTGGTTGAGGATCTTGGGGATCCTGGGTGGAGCTGCCCAGTGGAGCTGGGCTGGCTCTAGGATCCAGGAGCTGGGTTGTGGAGGGGAGGCAGGTTAAGTTGAGGCCCTCAGAGATGGGGCTGACCTGGGTTCCTTCAGCAGTCCTAATCACCACTGACCTGGAGCCAGACTTAGGATACCGGGGGGGCTAGAAACTTCTGGAAGGAGAATGGCCAGGGTATTGTGATGTGAAATAATTGGGCAAACTGAGAAACAGCATCCCGGAGTTGCCTGCTGGATACTTTGGTGTCTAGAGCTGGAGCCTTACACTGCTCTCTCTCTGCTGGGCCCCAGCTGGGGACCCAGCATAAGCCCTGCTCCTCCACCCAAAGTCCTCTGCTCTGCTCACAGGCATCCCTGGGGCAGTAGCTGCCAGGCCTGGATCAGCCCAAGGTATGGACAGCCCATGCGATTTACAAGGAGCAGATGGTAATTGCTCAGTGAGGAGCCAACAGGCTGAGTAATCACCTGCCCGCTTCCCGAGGGGAGAAGGGATCCTCTACTTCATTCTTTCTGTCAGAGGCCTCACTTCCTTAAGCAGGCCTCCCTGGCCCATCACCTATCTCTCCATCTCTACCCCCAACTATAAATGCAGGTGAGTGCACACAGCACACATGCCTACACACGTATACACATACATACATGTGTATGTGTACATCTCCGCACATGCCTAAGACACAGAGTCTGAGCTACCATCTATAGCCAGTCTGAAGACACGGCACTGGTGTTCGTGAACTTGCCAGGAGTGCCTCCCTCCCAGCTTCCAGCCTAACTCAACCTTCCTTCCCCACAGCTGGGTCCCAGTCAGTCACTTAATCAGATGCCTTGCTGCGTGCCCAGTTCTGTGGTGACTATAGAAGGATACATGGCATCTGACCCACAGGCATTGCCATCACCTCGGGAAACCACAGGTAACATATTGGAAACCAAAG